GATAGATAGATAGATCGATCGATCGATAGATAGATAGATAGATAGATAGATAGATAGATAGATAGATAGGTAGATAGATCTATGATCATTGTCCAGTCGGGCAATTCGGTAACAATGAAGTAGTATAGCGTAGCGCCGGGATGCTAGGCATGGGTATAAAAGTCGGCACTAATAATAATAATATATATATAAGGAGTTGGAAAGAGACAGGTGAAGCAAGAGGTAGCAAAATAGCTAAGCTCCCAGCGAACAACGCTACAGAATACAACAATAGGATAAGCGTACTTTCGTTACTAGGTATTCTATGCCGAGTTTTCGTGGAATCTGCAATTTATTGGGGGTGAATTATAAAATTCTGAAATACTGTGTGGAATTTGAAAGTAATTCCTTTTTGTTCTGGATACATTTCACAGCTTCGATAGCTTTCATCTGGTTGGTGTTTATCTGATAAGAATCGGGTTGATATGATGATGTACCACCATGACTATAAAAAATGTGTTTCCCCAATAAATAACTTCGTTTGTTTCGAACGAGGTTACGAAGGTGGTGGGAACACTGAATTGCATTTTACTGCCGATCGGTGTACTAAATCTTCAACTCGTTACACGACACGTATAAAAATGAGGTCATAGCGGGGATACACGCAAAAGTTTTCCACCGATATCGTGGTTGATATAGCTCATTGAAGCCTGCCGTAATTCACGGATGCACACACGCACCCACATCTCTCGGGAAAACGACCGAGAAGCATACTGCAGGAATTCGCGCTAGAGTATCAATAGAAAGTGAATGCCGATAGACACTCTCCTCTTATATATATTAGAAAGGAAACAATTATGCTGGCAATGCACGATGCATGCAGCGGCCTCATAGCGGCCCCTAGGTAGACGCTTCAACTTTCAAACTTCAAGGTTGTACTCCCAATAGATGCCTGTATTATTTACACTAGCGGTGAATGAAAGCAGAATAATATATATATATATATATATATGTGTGTGTGTGTGTGTGTGTGTGTGTGCGCGTGCGTACGTGCGTGTGTGTGTGCGCGCGCTTGTGTTAGTGTGTGTGTGTGTGTGTGTGTGTGTGTGCTGTTGCGT